ACATTAAAATTTGACTCACTAAATTCTATATATGTGCATAAAATTAGACAAAAAAAAACTCAATAAGTGCCAAACAGAAATGTCAACTTGAACAAATATTTAAAAGATAAATTGAGAGAAATATTATCTTATTCTTTTTATATAATTAAAGATGGTCTAAGTCATAAAAAATTGTTAGCTGGATTTTGTTTACAATGCTATAATTTAATTATATTAAATTATATATATAATAAGATAATAAAGATTTCTAGAATAGTCTAAAATGGGAAGTAGAGTACACATGACTAAATAATTTACTAATTAAGACAGAAAAGAATTAATTTTATTTTACGTTAAAGTCTTGTTCATGCAAGTACTAGAAAGATAACATATAAGATAAATAAAATCCTATTTTTGATATTATAATTAAATGATTCAAATATATTGGAAAATTTTCTATAAGTTCATTTTAGTCATTAAAAGAGTGTTGTTTTATAATATTTTTTTTATATTCATTTCTATTTTAAGTAGGTTAATTGACCAAATATTATTAAAGACTATGCTTTTTTTAGTATTATACTTTCGCTTTCTGTTGTCCAGTTTAATTATTATTGTAAATTTATATATGATTTGTTCTTATTTTTAATCTTTAATAATTTTTTTTCTAAATGAACATATATAGAACTTTTATGTTTCTTCTACTAAAACATGTCATATTTCGAGTTATCATTCAAGATTTATAATTGTAAATTTATATATGATATCTTGTTATTTTTAGAAAAAACGGTCTGAAATATATTTGCATTTTGATCGAAATTGTTGTTACCATATTGAATTTTAGAAAGGACTTTTTACCTCTGCACTATTTAATAGCGTAACTTAAAAGTATATATGTGTCCACGTGGACATAAAAAATATTGCATAATTATAAATAATAATGTGTCAACGTAAGCATATATATACATTTAAATACACTATTAAATAGTTCGGGAGTAAAAAGTACACTATTAAATAATTCAGGGAAGTAAAAGATTCTCTATAAAGTTCGATATCGTAACAGTAATATCAGTCAAAATTCAGTATTTTTCAAACTCTTTTCCATTATTTTTAATCTCAATACTTTTTTTTCTTAATGAACATATATGGAATTTTTATGTTTCTTTTACTAGAGCGCGTCATATTTCGAGCCATCATTCAAGATTTATAATTGTAAATTTATATAGGGAAAATGCACAAGTACCCCCTCAATCTATGTCGGAAATTTCAGAGTCACACTTATACTATACTAAGGTCCTATTATCCCCCTGAACTTATTTTATAAGTGATTTTCTATCCCTTTTCAACTTACGTGGAACTAGCTTAAAAAAAAAAGTCAACCAGCATTGGGCCACAAGATAGTGCTATGTAGGCCGAAAAGGGATGGAAAATTATTAATAAAATAAGTTCAGAGGGTAATAGGACCTTAGTATAGTACAAATGTGTCTTTGAGATTTCAAATATAGGTTGAGAGAGTACTTGTGCATTATCCCATTTATATATGATATCTTGAACTTTTTTTTCTCAATGAGCATGTAAAGAATTTTTATGTTTCTTGAACATGTCATATTTCGAGCCACAGTTCAAAGATTTATAATTGTAAATTTATATATTATATCTTGTTATTTTAATTTTGATATTTTTATTTTCAATGAGCATATAAAAATCTTTTATGATTCATTTACTAGAACATGTCATAATTCGAATATCTAAATGTTAAGTCTTATAAGGTTGCCTATGTAACACACTAATACCCTATTCTCTTTTAGTCTTCTTTTGTGTGCTTTACTTAGGTATCAAAATTTTCATTAATACAAAAACAAGTCAAAATTCTCTAGCAGTGTTAGCTAGGGACAATGATATGACAAAAGGGACAAATTGAAAAAAAGATAAATCATGGTAAAAAAAATTGGAGATTTAACCATAGATTTTAAATATTTCTTATTTTATTTGAATTTATTAAAATTGAAATTGAAAATAAATTTGTATTTAGTTATATTTTTTTATAAAAAAAGTATTTTAAATAATATTCATGTTTTAATATAGACTTAAATAAAAAATTTAAGTACAATTCTGCCAAACATTGTATCTATTAGGATCGAATCCACACACACACTTGATGAATGAAGAACACAAGAACTTTCGAGAGAAAGAGATGAGCGATCTAGAGAGAGAAAGAGAGAAATCAATATTTTGTGGTAACACCCCGTGAGTAAACTTCCACGGCGGTGGGGTATATATATTAATTATTTAGAGTATTTTTGGTTATACAGAATAAATGGAGAATAAATAGTACAGTACATCAAATATTAATCAGGCTCCACAATCTAACAGTATCTACCATATAATACAGTATAATAAAATACAATACAATATAATGCATTATGAAATAATAGGTAACGATGATCTAAACAAAGTGTAAGTGGCCCTTAGTCAAACTTTTTCTCAATGAATATATTAATGTATATTAGGAGTTAGCCTTGACTGAAGACCACTAAGGAATAATATTAAACTTTGGGTTAATTTATTCAACTATATATTTTTTTCCAAATATAGACATTTTTTTTCTCTTCTCCCTTCCCTATAAATTTCCAATTTTTATTTTCAAAGTATTATAAATTTCTCATTACAATGGGGAATTGCTCTGGAAAATCTTCAAAACTAGCTCATGCTTCTTCTAGCCTAATTTTTGGTACTATTCCCTTTTCTATTTTAAATTTATCTTTACATTTTTTTGCATATATAATTTGTACAAAAAATGAAATTCATATATTGTATATCACCATATCATATTAGTCACTAATAGATTCATGGCTATATTGTTGTGTGTCATTAGACAAGGCTCTACGCGTTTTAACTAGTCGTGAAGTCAGAAATTTTATGAGGGGTTTCTAGAAAAATACAATACTGTTGTCACACTTAGATTTTGAATTTTTTTTTAATCTTAATTTCAAATAAAATAGATCAAAATAACTAGGGATATTATGTGATTTATTAGTATTATGAATAAAAAAATTTTGTTTAAAGTTCGATTTTTTCAAAGGGCAAGAGAATATGGATGTTCTATTAAAAGGGAAAATGCAGAAGCACCCCCTCAACCTATGCCCGAAATTTCAGAGACACACTTATATTATACTAAGGTTCTATTACCCCTGAACTTATTTTATAAGTAATTTTCTACTCTTTTTCGACATACGTGGCACTAGCTTGAAAAAAAAAGTCAACCATCATTGAACCCACAAGATAGTGTCAGGTAGGCCGAAAAGGGATAGAAAATTATTAATAAAATAAGTTCAGGGGGATAATGTGATCTTAATATAGTATAAGTGTGTCTCTGAGATTTCGGGCATAGATTGAGAAAGTACTTGTGCATTATCCCATCATGTTATAAGGAATTTGGAACCTAAGGAAAGGGGGTTGGATAAATAGTTGGGGGGTTAAATAGTTTTTTTGAGGATAGAGGGACTTGAACCCTCACGATTTTTAAAGTCGGTGGATTTTCCTTTAACTATAAATTTCATCCTTTTTGAGGATAGAGGATAGAGGGACTTCAAAAGATCTGTCAGACTATAAAGTGAATGATTTGATCAATGAATATTCTATTCTTTCTTAGTCACCTTTGTTGTCAAAGTTTGCAATTATTAGCTTCTGCATAACGCGCTACAATATTGAGCGTAGAAGTTTGTTGCTTTGGTATATTGAGTTACAATATTTGTTTGGAATTTTTTAGTACATGACTTGTTGTACTAGAGGAACAGTAATGATTCGTATAGTCGACCCTACAAAACTTGTTGTACTAGAGGAACAGTAATGATTCGTATAGTCGACCCTACATAACTTGTTGTACTAGAGGAACAGTAATGATTCGTATAGTCGACCCTAACTTTGTTTGCAATTTCTGTTTCAGATTCTAATTCTGGCTCTTCAAGAAGTGTGAAAAGGGAACAATTTCATTCTCATAAACAGTCATTTCATAACAGTTTTCGCGCAAATGATTCATTTGTTCCGAGCAACCTTAAGTCATTTACCTTCAATGAACTAAAAAATGCAACTAGGAACTTCCGAGCTGATAGCCTTCTTGGCGAAGGAGGTTTTGGTTACGTCTTCAAAGGATGGATAGATGAGACTACTTTTGCTCCTTGCAAACCAGGAAGTGGTATGGTTGTAGCTGTCAAGAAACTTAAGCCCGAAAGCTTCCAAGGGCATCGAGAATGGCTTGTATGTCGTAAAGAACTTAAACTATGCCAAGGGTATTGTCCGCTTTGAATCTAACTTCAGGGCGTTATAGTTTTGTCCCCTCGGGACTTAACCTTACAGATGCCCTGAAAGTTGAATTCCTGACTCCGCCTTTTATGATCACTAAACGTCCCCTCTCATTCCGATGTGGGATTGGGCCAGAGTGGACAATATCTTGACAGTTAACATCTTTTGCAGCAATTCATTGTTGTGAGTTAACTTTGTTTTCGACGTACTAAACATGCAGGCAGAGGTTAACTACTTAGGGCTGCTTCACCATGAAAATCTAGTAAGGTTAATTGGATATTGCGCGGAGTTTGATAACAGACTTCTTGTTTATGAAGTCATGTCAAAAGGAAGTTTGGAAAATCATTTATTTAAAAGTGAGTAAAATCTCTTTACATTTGTTTTTGTATGCTTAATTATAAGGTTGACGATTAACGTCTTTTGTGAACAGAGGGAGTTCAGACTATACCTTGGGCTACACGAATGTGTATTGCAGTAGATGTTGCACGAGGCTTGTCCTTCTTACACGGTCTTGAAGCAAATGTTATTTACCGCGATCTCAAGGCTTCAAACATACTACTTGATTCAGTAAGCTCTCCAAAAACTGAAATGGTAATGATTAGCTTTTTAAGTCGCGTAAATTTTTCATTGAACTTCTGCAGGATTTCAATGCCAAGCTATCGGATTTTGGTCTGGCAAGAGATGGTCCTAGTGGAGACAGAACTCATGTCTCGACTAGAATTGTTGGTACTACCGGTTATGCTGCACCAGAATATCTTGCATCAGGTTTGTTTTGTAAATCTCATCTGATTTGTATCTTTTTCTTCCATTCCAAGAGCTCGTTTGGCTTAGCTGATTAACGGTAGTTGATTAGCATCACATATAAGTGATTTGACCGTCAGTGCATAGAATTTAAACTCTTTTGATATTTTTGGACGCGACTAACGTGGTAAAGGCCTTTCTTCACTAAACTTTCCAATTCAACTTGTTCAAAACAGGTCACTTGACACCAAAGAATGATGTTTACAGTTTTGGAGTTGTTCTACTAGAGTTGCTATCGGGAAAACGAGCAACGAGTGCTGAAAATGCAGGAGGTGCTGATGAGAAATTGGTGGAATGGGCAAAACCATTCTTATGTGATAGTAGGAGAGTGTTGAGAATAATGGACACAAGGTTGGGAGGACAATACTCAAAGAAAGGTGCACAAACTGCAGCTTCCCTTGTCCTGAGGTGCCTCAACGTCGATCCGAGACTCAGGCCAACAATGGATGAGGTTCTAGCTACACTAGAACTTGTACAAGCACCAAAAGATGTCATGAAGAGTTCACAATAGATTAAACAGGGCCAAATGACAAGTTAGTCTCAAGAGAAATGTCTATCATGTATATAGTAATAGATAAAGGAGCAAGGTCCCGGAGGCGGAATCAGGATTATTGAAAATCACTTAGTTCGAATGTCTAAATCAAATACATACATCTTCATGTCAAACTTAGTTTCAACTCACATTTATAGAAACTAGTCTATTAAGTTTAGTTTCAACTCACATTTATGGAAAACACACACATCTTCATGCCAAACTTAGCTTCAATTCACATTTATGAAAACTAGTCTATTAAGTTTAGGTTCGAACTCACATTTATGGTAAATACACATCTTCGTGCCAAACTTAGTTTCATCTAACATTTATGGCAAGTATACACATCTTACATGGCACGAGATAAATCATTTTTTAGTGTTATTTCAAAAAAAAAAAACTGTCATATATAAAGATGAGTGTTGAAACAAGACCCGCAAATTCTAAAAACCTAATACTAATAACTCACCAAATTAGAGTCATGCGAAAACATGGAGGCCACTCAAAATCTGACGAGTAGAAAAAGTGATCTTAACGTACTTTTGTTGAGGATCTTAAGTGCAGGTATCTGCATCATTAAAAGAGGTAGGTCGGAGAACATCTCTATATTGAATGTACGAGCAAGTAATATAGCCGAAGCGAAATAACTGAATCAAAGGACTGTAAAAAGATATAGCACAAATTCAACCAATTGTAAAGAATTAAATGAATGAAATCATTTGAACATTACAAAACTACTTATTCATCTCTGAAACTCAACATAATAAGTGATATAGTAAAAATACACCTTAACTTAGAAATCAAAGATTATCTTTTCAAGCTCTTTCTCATGGTTCCTATTTGCTTTCTCAGAACTCAGTTTAAAACAATTATATTTATTTAAAATTTCTCAATAAGAACTCAATGGATACTCAGGTATAGGGTTCGTGCCGTAAAATAGACATGAACCATCAACTCAATAAATCCAATGCACAATATACAACAATCCAATAATTATGAATAGAAATTCATTAATCATGAACTCTAGAACTCAAAACGCAATATTAACTCATCTCAAGAATATTCAAATCTAAGAATAGAACTCTAGATTATTCTTTTACTGATTTAAAAGTAAACATGGAGTGTGAGGATGAACTAGTGCAACACTATGATAGCTTTATTACGTACTTGATTATAAAGCTATAAGAATGAAAACTTTTTTTGAAAACTTGATTTTATCTTGAGCTTGAGGAAGAACATTGGTTTTATTGGTGGAAACCTTTGAACCTGGAATCTTGGTGCTTGCTCTCGATAAAGAAACTCTTTTATAAAGTTCTTACAGTGGAAGAACATGAGAAAAAAACCTCGGGTGAAGAATTCTCTCAGTATCTTGAATTTTTGATTTGAAGGTTTTAGGGTTGTTGTTTGAGAAGAGGAACCCTAGGTGAGTTTTAAGAGAACTTCTAAGTATACTTCAATGTTTATATTGATGATTTCGAGAGGAAAACTAGCTACTTAAATGATATACTCAGTTAAAATACTTAAAAAAAGAGAGGCATAAATAGGGTTAAAGACTTGGAAAAGGACCAAAATAACCCTAAAATGTGTGTAGCAAGCCTTCACGGAAGGGTCTACCATTAATCAAAATTTCTACTGTCTTGTAGGTCCAGTTGTAGAACATTGACGGCATGACAGGCGCTTCACTAAAAAGGCATAACATTTTACTTCAAACTCGAAATGAGGCAAATTTAGTGGCGCTTGGAAAGATGGCTCGTATACTTTAATTTTACTGGTCATGGGCTACCTAATTGATTATAAACTGAGAGGTATCGTTGTTTGAAGTTGACCTAAATAGAATATTATGTCAATACTTAATACTTAAGGAAATTTTCAACTCAACGTTGCGTTAGGGGTTTCTTGTGACCTTAATTCATATCTGAATTCATTATTACACAAAAGAATTGAACTTAACGCCTAAATATAATTTTTAAAAATTACCTAACAGGACCTTATACGTAATAAAGAATAGTTTGGGTCTTTAAGTTAAAAAAATTTAGGATGTAACATCTTTGGACTGAAAAAATATGGAAAAGAGAGTATTACAATTGCGTGGTGATTACAATTGTAGAAGAAGAGGTGCATTTTCTAAAAGTTGTATTACAATTGTATTAAAAGTATATATTAAATATAAACAATAGTTTTATAATAGCGCAACTTTCACATATAGCAAACATAAAATTCATGTTTGTATGTTATAACAAAGTTTGCATAATTGCGCTCCATAGCAAACATATATATGTATAATTCGTTATACATATACAATTGAAGAGAATTGTATAAAACAAAGTGTATAATATGAAGTGTATAAAACGAACTGCATAATTATAAGTGTATAGGGCGATTATATACAATTTGAATTTGAATAAAATGTGAAAGAGAGAAAGGCAAAAGAGACTTGGGCAGGGAAAATACAATTGAATCGATTATATACAATTTGTATAAAACGAGAAAGAGAGAAAGGCAAAAGAGACTTGGGCATGGAGTACTTTTATTGTTTGATTATAAGTGTATAGGACAAAAATATATGTACGTATTTGCATGTGTATACAATTTTCTCTCGCTTTATACAATTAGAAACACAATTTATACAATTCTATTGTATAAAGCGAGAGAGGCGAGCGACAGGAAGCGAGTGAGAGAGGGAGAGTGGCGAGCGAGAATATGAGGGAGAGAGGAACTGACAAACAATTTGCTATGAAACACAAATAAATCAAACGATAGCTACTATATTTATTTTATATTATTAGTTTGTCATTATATACAATTATCACTTTATAATACAATTTGAATTTGATACTATACATTGTTAGAAATTCGATTATTGTTTTTTAACAAATACAATACATTTCTAACAATATAAAATCAATTTAGATTGTACTGAAATATTTGAAATTCACACATATTATTTATAATATATTTGTATTAAAAATATTTTACTAGAGTCAAACTATAAAAACTTTGACTTACATCTTACGATGTATCTTTTATCAGATTAATATGTAATAAATTGATATTTATAGTACTTTTCGTATAAATTTTAAATATTTAAATATTTGATTTAAAATATTAAATTACTATAATCTAATTTAACTTTTAAAATTAGTCAAATTGACTTTCGAAAAGCATAACATAACAAATAAAAATGTACTAAAAAATATTTGAAGTAATTGGACCAATTATCAAGTGTGGAGCAGAAGCAGAATCTTTCATTTTCCAAATGCATTAATTTTGACTAAATTATTACTGTTACTGTAAAAAGATTAAACATAAATTTCAAGTTATTTCATTTTGTGTTAATTTCAATCTTACATAGAAATATATTAATCAAATCTTTGAAAATAAAAATTCATATCATGATTAGTAATAATAATTATTATATATATGAAAGTGGTAGCAATTAACATACTTCATTAATGTGTTTGGTCAAATAGTCTTTGCTTTATTCATATTTTTTCCAATATACATGGAATACTTATCATTTTATTTCTAATTATATATAATTTATGTATTATAATTTGTTAAGTAAATCAGTAAGTAATGTATTAATAAATAGCAATAAGTGGCCCTCTAATATTAAAAGTTAGTAAATCTATTTTTAAGTCAGCTTTAAAATTTTTGAATATTTGACAAATATAAAAATAACTGAAAATAAATTTAAAAAATTTACTTAAAATAAGTTTTAAAACGTTTGACCAGGTTAAAAATAACTTGAAATAAGTTAAAAATCAAAAGTAGATCTCCTTTACTTTATATTTTTTTACTTAAAAGTCATTTCAGTTTGACTTGACAGCTATGTTTTTTCGTAAGTCAATCCAAACAGGCCGTTAGTTAAACTTTTGTCTCAATGAATATCTTATTATATTAGGAATTTCCCTTGACTGAAGACAACAAAGGAATAATATTAAATTTTTGGGTTAATTTATTCAACTAAATAGTTTTCCAAATATAAATATTTTTTCTGTTTTTTCTCTTATTCCTTCTCTATAAATTTCCATTTTTTTTTCAAAACATTATAAACTTCTATTTACAAAATGGGGATTTGCTCTGGAAAAATTTCAAAACTTGATCATGCTTCTTCTAGCCTATTTTTTGGTACAATTCCCTTTTTATTTTCAAATTTATCTCTACATTTTTTGTATATAATTTGTATACAAAAGTTAGAACATCATGATTTGTTATGTGTCATTAGCCAAGGTTCTATGATTTTGCACTAATCGTGGAATCAGAAATTTTACTAAGAGTTTCGAAAAAAATGGAATAATGTCACACCTAGATTTTTGAACTATTTTGAGTCACCTTTGTGGCTACACTAGAAAACTATAATTTATTGCTGTCAAAATTTACAATTATTAGCTTCTGCCTGACGCGCTCTGTCTTTATTCAGTCTTTTGTATCCTGTTTTGTACAGAAGTTTGTTGCTTTCATATATTGAGTTACAATGTACATAACTTGTTGTACTAGAGAAACTTAAGTGGAGTAACATGAACAGTAAGGATTCATATACTCGATAGTCGAGCCTAACTTTGTTAGCAATTTTTATTTCAAATTTCTCTTTATCATTTTTTGTATATAATTTTGTATACAAAAGTTGAAAATTATGATTTGTTATGTGTCATTAGCCAAGGTTCTATGATTTGAACTAATCGTGGAGCCAGAAGTTTTTACTAAGAGTTTCGAGAAAAATGCAATAATGTCATACCTAGATTTTTGAACTTTTTTTACTCACCTTTGTTGCTACACTAGAAAACTTCAATTTAATGCTGTCAAAGTTTGCAATAATAGCTCCTGCCTGACGCGCTCTGTCTTTATTCATTCTTGTGTGTTTTGTTTTGTATAGAAGTTTGTTGCTTTGATACATTGAGTTACAATGTACATAACTTGTTGTACTATACTTGAAAGTCGAGCCTAACTTTGTTTGCGATTTTTATTTCAGATTCTAATTCCGTCTCTTCAAGCAGTGTGAAGAAGGAACAGTTTCATTCTCATAAACACTCATTTCATAGCAGTTTTTGCTCAAACGATTCATTTGTTCCGAGCAACCTCAAGTCATTTACCTACGACGAACTTAAAAATGCAACTAAGAACTTTCAAGCTGATAGTCTTCTTGACGAAGGACGTTTTGGTTACGTCTTCAAAGGATGGATAGATGAGACTACATTTGCTCCTTGCAAACCAGGAAGTGGTATGGTTGTAGCTGTCAAGAAACTCAAGGCCGGACGCTTCCAAGGGCATAGAGAATGGCTTGTACGTCGTAAAGAACTTAAAAACTCTAACTATCTAGGTCTAATTGTCAAGGTATTGTCCGCTTTAGACCTAACTTCAGGGTGTCATGGTTTTGTCCCTTCGGGATTTAGATGCCCTGAATGTTGAAATCCTGACTCCGCCTTTTGTGATCACTAAAAGTGGACAATACCTTGGGAGTTAACATCTTTTGCCACACTTGTACTATTGTGATTTAACTTTGTTTTTTCGAAATGCAGGCAGAGGTAAACTACTTAGGGCTGCTTTACCATGAAAATTTAGTGAACTTGATTGGATATTGCGCGGAGCTTGATAACAGACTTCTTGTATATGAAGTCATGTCAAAAGGAAGTTTGGAAAATCACTTATTCAAAAGTGAGTCGTCGAATCTCTTTACATTTGTTTACGTATGCTTAATTATAACGTTGACGATTAACCTCTTCTGTGAACAGAGGGAGATAAGGTTATACCTTGGGCTACACGAATGTGTATTGCAGTAGAGGTTGCACGAGCCTTGTCCTTCTTACACGGTCTTGATGCAAGTGTTGTTTACCGCGATCTCAAGGCTTCAAACATTCTACTTGATTCAGTAAGCTCTCCAAAACTGATTCGCATTAGACAAGTTACAACTTTTGAAGTCGCGTAAGTTTTTCATTGCACTTCTGCAGGATTTCAGTGCCAAGCTATCGGCTTTTGGTCTTGCAAGAGATGGTCCTCGTGGAGACAGAACTCGTTTCCCGACTAGAGTTTGTTGTACTAGGGGTTATGCTGCACCAGAATATCTTGCATCAGGTTTTCTAAATCTTACACCGTCAATGCATAGAATTTAAACTCTTTGCTAACTTTTGCACGCGACTAACGTGGTAGAGGCCTTTCGTTCACTAAACTTTCCACTTCAACTTGTTCAAAACAGGTAACTTGACACCTCAGATTGATGTTTATAGTTTTGGAGTTGTTCTACTAGAGTTGCTATCGGGAAGACGAGCAACGAGTGCTGAAAATGCAGGAGGTGCTGATGAGAAATTGGTGGAATGGGCAAAACCATTCTTGTGTGATAGTAGGAGAGTGTTGAGAATAATGGACATAAGGTTGGGAGGAAAGTACTCAAAGAAAGGTGCACAAACTGCAGCTTCCCTTGTCCTGAGGTGCGTCGACGTCGATCCGAGGCTTAGGCCAACAATGGATGAGGTTCTAGCTACACTAGAACTTGTAAAAGCACCAAAAGTTGTTCACAACAGATTAAACAAAGCAGATGACAAGTTAGTCTCAAGAGAAGACAAAGGTGCTCGGTCGATCTCCCGGGGGCGGAACCAGGATTTTCATTAAGCAGAGTCGAAATACAAAGAAAGAGTCCAAGGCAAGTACCTTTAGAGAAATGCCCAAGAATGTTCAAAATTAAAGCACTTTATTACTTGTTGAAATATATACAAGTCTATCATGTTAGTCAATATTGTTTGGTCACATTTGAATCGAAAATGTCTAATTAAAACACTTTATTTACTTGTTTTGAAATGTACAATTGGAACATAACTTTAGTTCAAATGTCTAAATGAAATATCGGGACAAGTTTAAGTGGTTGACTATGTATTGAGCCGAAACATTTTGAAAAGAAAAATTCTTATACAAGGAAAAACACTTCCCTAATAGAAATAACGAAATCAAATCCAATAATAACCTTTGTATACCAAATACAAGAAAATTACTTATTTTTCAGAAAAATATTTTCTTCCGTATGAAACTTGTACAAGAACCAAAAAAAAAAAAGTAACGAAAACAAATTTCATAAATGACATTACCCAATAATTATTTCCTAACCCACAACCCTAACACCCCTGCCCCCAACTTCATGTTACTTATATACCGAACATTTATTTTCCTGGAAAATATTTTCTTTCGTATCAAACGCACCTTTTATATTAATTCATAAGTTGGAAGGCAAATAATTTAAGTGTTTGCAATTGAAAAAGGACGTAGCTAGTGAGGTTCTAACCGAGGCGCGTCTATTGCTGGTTGAAAACTATTTCCAAACCTCCTCATCGGCCTTGGTGTTTGCCAAGGCCGCTGAGAATTTTTGGAAGGGCTTCCCTTTGGGGTAAAGCCCTACAATTCAAGTTCAAATTGTTGATAATATGCCTATTTTATACTACGATTTAAATTTTAGAGATATAATTTAACTATAAACTATGGTTAATATTATCTTTTGAACTTTTTTTTTTTTGTAATTTTGTACATTTTTTGTTTTATGTTGCACACTTTGTGACGTGACTTCATGCAATTGAGGCGAGTGGAAGATATTTGAATGCCAGTTAGCCTAAAAAGTCATGCAATTGAGGCAAGTTGAAGATATTTGAATGCCAGTAAGCTTAAAAAGGTGGGCTAATTACAAAAGTTGAATTCAGTCTAAAAGAACATTAGTCTGGAGGCGAGTGAAAGATATTTGAATGTCAGTAAACCTAAAAAGATGCACAAAATTACAAAAGTTGGATTCAGTCTAAAAGAACATTAGTCTGAGGAGGAAACTTGTACATTTTCCCTTATATAATATGATATTTATCTTTTAATTTGGTTATAGTTTGATGGCATTTATGTTATCATTAGGTTGGTTTTAGTTTTTAGTTGATATCTAGAGTCATGTTGACATCTAAAGTTTGAATAAATACACTCGTCTTACATGGTAATTTGAATACACTCATTTTACATGGTAATTTGAATACACGGCAATTCAAACACTCGTCCAACATGGCATGACCATTCATGTGAGATATAGTTGAATTGCAGTTGCATACACTTGTCTTACATGACAATTTACTCGTCCAACATGATAATTCATGTGAGATATAGCTAAATTGACTTGTAATTCACGTGAGATATGAATTGATTTTGTACTAGGTCGGATATGTATTTATTTGTTTAATTTTAAGTGTTGTAAATATAAAGTTGGAGGGAATAGATGTAGGGCGTGTCTATTTGTACATATTCAAAGCTGAAAGGCATAAATATTAAGTTGAGACCAAATTGAACACGTTTTAAGTATTAGAAGACATAAATATCAAATTGAGATTAAATTAAATGACGTTTTTATGTATTATATGCCTAATTTGCAAGTGTTACATTTTTGCTGCAAAGTTCACATTGATATGAACAACAATAATTATATTCCCCTAAAAGTTCCTAAGTTAAATTCCATAAAAAGTCTAAAATCTTTCATCAATAACCAAAGACTTACAAATTTTCTAAGCTACTTCCTTTTATGTGATTTTAGGTCTATCAATCTCAATCGATCTTTTCATAATTTATCAATCATGTCTGTTGTTGTATGTAGCCATTATTAATCTGGTATAATCGTACATTCGTTTTAGCATTCACAGCTCTTCAATATTTTCATGTTATAGATATATTGAACTTTATCAGACTTTCGTAAAAATAAGATAAAAATATTGCGTACAACAAGCCTAATGTGGTTTGAACCTTCTTAGGATCCTGTGCATAAAAATACTTAGTGCATCGAGCTGTCCTTTTTCTTTTTGAAATAATATGATTTTTCAAAGAGAAAAAAAAAAGAAATTTGAAAAATCCAATATATTGTATACAATTGCAATCACAATTTTTCAAAAAAGTGATACAAATCAATACAAACTTGATTTGAATTGAAGCAAATTCTACTATTTTTGTCTAATAAAACACCTACCCCTAATAAAACAATTGGTAAAACCTTAAAAATATGGTCCCAAAATTTTGAAAAAAAAAATAAAACAATAAGAAATTGCTCTTCATTTTTTTTCTTCCATGTCTTGTTCAGTTTTCCATACAACATTATCTAGGCAGGTTGAAAGATTCTTGTAAAACTGCATAAAAACAAAGAAAATGGTTAAAAGATGATATCGAAAGGCCGGGGGGGGGGTATGGTACGAAGAAATATAACTAATACGTTAATCAATAACTATGTCTTAATTCTAAGTAAGTTGAGATCGGTTATGTGAATACACTATATGTATCATGGGATTCATGATCATATTCAAACTATCTTTATGTTTTTCCTTCAACCTACACAGCGGTGACCTTAAACCGGATGTGGATGTCACCTACGAAGAAAGATAACTAATACGTTAATCAATAACTACGTCTTAATTCTAAGTAAGTTGATCGGTTATTTGAATACACTAATGTATCATAGGATTCATGATCATATTTAAACTATTTTTATGTTTTTCCTTCAACCTACACAACGGTGACCTTAATCCGGATGTGGATGTCACCTGCGATGAAAGATACTAATACGTTAATCAATAATTATGTCTTAATTCTAAGTAAGTTGATCGGTTATATGAATACAATAATGTAGCATAGGATTCATGATAATATTCAAACTATTTTTATGTTTTTCCTTCAATGACCTTAAACCGGATGTGGATGTGGATGTGACCAACGATGAAAAATAACTAATACGTTAATCAATAACTACGTCTTAATTCTAAGTAAGTTGAGATCGGTAACTATATGAATACACTATATGTATCATTGGATTCATGACCATATTCAAACTATTTTTATGTTTTTCCTTCAACCTACACAACGGTGACCTTAAACCGGATGTGGATGTCACCTACGAAGAAAGATAACTAATACGTTAATCAATAACTACGTCTTAATTCTAAGTAAGTTGAGATCGTTAACTATATGAATACACTATATGTATCATTGGATTCATGATCATATTCAACCTATTTTTATGTTGACCTTCAACCTACACAACGATGAGCTTAAACCAGATGTGGATGTGAAACCCCCATCGGATTTGGTCAACTTAACTCGGATGCTTTGACTACGTCTATAACCAAGAATACCGATTTCAAGATCCACATCTGTGCACGAGTCCAAGCAACAAAACTCATAACTATGGTAAAACTTTACATCAGGCCAATCTCCTGGTTTTTTTGCTTGTGATTATACGAGTGAAAACGCCTATTAACACCTACGAGTAGTTGTAAACATGAAAATACTACACGTACCTTGTGGAATTCCAAAGTGTCTCCTTTTGACTTCCGCACCTCGACCATATGAAGAGAAGGAGCAACTTGAAACACCTAAATTGAAGATCGAAACAACGTTCAGAATGAAACAACGAAACATTTTAAAAAGATCAACGCGGATGCACATTTAAATACATTACCTCAGTGGAAACGTTAAGGTTCCCTTTTCTACCGGCTTTCAGATTTTGAAGCCTCATCTGCAGGGACACATCGAACATAAGAACAGTTAAGTGTTTCATTTTCCGGTTATGATCACCATTACACATAGACGTTAGACATCACTAGAGGAATTGACATTGCGATAAGTGAACTTCATCACCACCTTGTAGTTCTTTTTGTGAACGTCAAAACCGAGAGGCTTAGCAGCTTCTTCAATCTTACTGATTATCTCATTAGCCGGACATTTAGACGTGAACCTTGTCTCTCTCTTGAATCCCTGAGAACAAATAGAATCAACACAATTTTGTCAAACATATTACGAAGACTAAAATAATGTACGAGAGCATCGTTAATATGTTACCTGTTCGTCGAAGAGATTGCCAAGGTTAAGACCTTGTGACATAGAAATCAACTCGAAAGCATTCATGGAAGTTGGCTTCTCTTCTCTTCTTTCCGTTACGTGATATTCCTGTTGTAATGCCAAGAGAGGAGTAGCACGTGAGATAAGTTTCGTATTGCAAACACTTCTTTCCTCTAAAATCGATAGATGAATGCTCACTTCAGAGTCCCTGAAGACTGCTTCAACGTCATCCAGGTTTGCATCTTCTATTTCATCGAAAACAGGTGGTCTATAATCTTTCTTAAACCATTCATCCTCCAAAATTTCAGGCACGGTAATACGCTGCATATAACATATATATCATGAATACGAAGAAAGTAGAAACTATCGATGTATAGTCACAAAACATACTGTCGTAGGATTCGGATCCAAGATGCGAGTAATCAACTTGATAGCACCAAAAGAGATCCAAGGTGGGCACGTAAATTCAGCAGCAGAGATCTGTATACCAGGATAGACATTGTGAAACGTAGCCAAAACACACAAAGATTTAACGATACCAAGTGACGAAGAAAAAATTACTCACTTTGTTATAGAGGTTCATAAGATTGGAGTCATCAAAAGGCAAGTAACCTGCAAGCAGTACAAAGAGTATGACTCCGCACGACCAGAGGTCTGCTGTTGCCCCATCGTATCCTCGATCATTCAGTACCTAATAACAAAGGAGTCCGATTTTTCAGTCCATGACTCAATCGATGCTTTCTTAACCTTTCAAAGATCTTGAGTAAAATTTCGGATCGACAGAGACTGGACACTACTGAGCATCTGATTTCAAACTACGAGTTCATTTTCAAGCTAACGGAATGCCTATCTGCTAATTCTGTTCCAGACAAACATAAAACGGAAAGTTAAGTAAAAACCAGTTTGGTTATACCTCAGGTGCAACATAGTTAGGAGTTCCGCAGGTGGTATGCAGTAAGCCATCAGCCTGGAAAATACAACTAAATATAAGAACTCAAAATGATCCTGCATTTACTAAATCGATTAGCGTGAAGTAGAGACGGATTTAAGGATTTCATTTCCGATGTTAAACGAGAAACGGTAAGTAGAGAAAATAGTTTACCCTGACTTGCTGGGATAGAGCACTCAATCCAAAATCAGATACCTTAAGGTCACCCGAAGAATCCAACAGTAAATTTTCAGGCTGCGCGAAGAAGAAAAAATTCAATTTCTATGCACCGAAGAAAATGTGAAACACATCATGTCAAAGAGGTTTTACACGACAACCAAAACATTGTTTACATTGTCAGTGTATAGACGTAACAGAAATAGAGACAGGAACGAGAAAGATAAGAAATTTTTACTTGTTAAGTGCTGCAACGTACAGCAACAACGCTTACCTTTAGATCTCGGTGATAGACTCCTCTACTATGGCAATAATCAACCGTATGAATAAGTTGCTGAAAATACTTCCTTGCCTCTTCTTCACGCATTCGTCCATGATTTACCTTTACGCCAATAAATCACGCGATAAACTACAGTCAGAGTCAAAAATTATCACCGGAACTTATAAGCACAGAAGAGGTTTGAACTTACAATTTTATCGAATAACTCTCCACCTGTAACGAACTCCAAAACAATAAATATCTTCGTCTTGCTTCCCATAACCTGAGGGGGCAGATGAAAAAACCAGGACATGATTGAACAATATTAGAGTAAAATCGTACAATCGACAAAAAATGTGAGACAACAGAGTTTCAGAACACAAGTAAAATCGTATTTCGACAAAAAAAAGTGAGACAGCAGAGTTTCAGAACACAAGTAAAATCGTATTTCGACAAAAAAAATGTGAGACAGCAGAGTTTCAGAACACAAGTAAAATCGTATTTCAACAAAAAAAAGTGAGACAGCAGAGTTTCAGAACACAAGTAAAATCGTATTTCGACAAAAAAAAGTGAGACAACAGAGTTGCAGAACATAACTATGTGTAACAATATGCAACTCAAGAACTACATTCGACTTATCTCTTTGCTAGTTTGTTATGTCAAATGTCTCGATTGATCGTTCCAATATAAGTGAAGAAACATGGTAAGAGAAACAAGATCAAGTCCAAAGCAAGGCGTTGGTTATTAACTCAGATATACGATGGATACACGATTCTGTATTGCCTTAATAAGGACACATACCGATTACTAACACATAGAAGATGTCGAGAAAGGACAAACCTCGTATAACTGTACAACATGAGGATGTCTGATCAACTTCATTGTAGCTATTTCCCGCTTTATCTGTCAAATTTTGCGTATATCAAAAAGCTAACACAGGAAGCTAAATAAACCATACAAGAGAACTAGACGTTCAACAAGGCAACGACATACTAATTATAATCGAAGGACAACATAAAAGGCGATAGATCACGAGTGCAGAGTGAATTATGAACTCGAAAAAAGTTACCTGTTCAGCCATTTTGTGCTTAAGGACCTTATCTTTATCGAGGATCTTGATCGCCACACTTTCTCCCGTCTCTGAATTCTTTGCAAACTTGACTTTCGCAAACGTTCCCTCACCAATTGTCCTTCCAACTTCATATTTACCAACTCTACGCTTGATTTTGGTCCGATTCATTATCGATACACCAACGCGATTCTGTAGAGGAAGTAGAAAATGTTTAGTTATAATTCACACCTCACATCATTTCATACACATAGATGATAGAACATTACTATATACACCCACAAATCACTCTACTAACTACCAGCGGCGGAGCCAGAATTTTCATTAAGAAGTTCTAAATACGAAACACGAAAAAGCCAATGAGGTTCAACACCTACTACATATACACAAATTACTCTGCTAACTACTAGTTGCGGAGCCAGGATTTTCACTAGGGAGGTCAAATTACGAAAATGTTAACTCGCGAAAAAGCCAAATGAGGTTCAGCACCTACTACATATACACAAGTTACTCGACTAACAGTGTGAGAACCCCTCGATCCTACCTGGCTCCGCTCTGCTACAATCAAGAGCCTATCATATCCAATTCTTTAATTGATATATTTCAAGAGATGACAACATCAGTTGATTAAATTAAGTCATAAATAATATACATTTTACTAAAAATATAAAAAAAAATCCAAAGAAATTGAATTAAAAACAGAGAATTATTGGAACAATCAATTATCCAACCACCACTTTTTAACTTTTTAGATTATAATCAACAACAGATAATTACATATCCAGCTAGATATAAAGCTACTTCACAACAAGGGTGGAGCCACAATACAGTTACGAGTTCGACAGAATTCAATAATTTTAGTTTTTAATCAATTGAGCTATTACGATTCCCTCGTTACTTTTAGCTCCAACTCCTATATTTTTCTTTAGAAAAATAATTTGACATGTATAGATAAAATACAACAAAAAACCTATAAATAAATAAAAAGAATTTTGATTTAGAATTCATAAACAAAAAATCCTGACTCCGCTTCTGCTTCGCTACACAAAAACCTCAACTATTTAGAAGTCGTAAACCAAAAATCCTGACTCCGCATCTGTTTCACAAATAGAATAACCACAACTTATAAGAGATCATAAATTAAAATTCTGACTTCGCCTCTGCTTTACAACAGAATATCTCAATTTTTCAGAGATAATTAACTGAAAATTCTGGCTTCGCCTATGTTTCACCACTGAAACAAAGTTTTTAGAAAATATCCACACAAAAATGAATCATATACAAGATCAATGAACAAAATATAATCCAATTTACCAAGATTCAAAATGAACTTTTTCTTGATAATTTTTTATCAAGAAAGTAGTATAACTAAAAGAAGAAAAAAAGACATAAAACTTTAAAAAAAAGATTCCCCAAAACACACAATTTTCATAAATCCAACAAAATTCAAAAGGAAAATAATAAAAAATAATATAACATACACTATGAGTTGAACAGAGCAAATTTCAGAGGAAAAAAAAATTAGAGCAATTCAAAATCTTGAAATGATTTTTTTCTTTTTTTGGAAGTGTAGTTTTGGTATCATAGCCACAAGTATATATAAATATTTATAATAATTATTTATTATTCCTAATTTAATGAAACCAAAAAAATAAATGATTACGTTGTATGGTTGTGCATACACGATAAGTATATAACAAAGAAAAAGAAAGACTCAATTATTTATTTACCCAAATAAAATATGTGGACACTCCTGAAACATATCCAACGAAATTCACTGACGAGTTTATTTTCTCTAGAATTATATCATGATTAAAATTATAGTATAACTATAATTACATTATTTATAATTATATTATTATTATTATTATTATTATAATTTTTTCTTCGTTCTTAAGGAACTTATTTTTAAAATAAATATATTTTGATCAATTAAATTAAATATAAAAATAATTAAAAATATTTTTCTTCATACCAAACACATCCCTAGTATATTTATATTTTAATTTTCTATAGTTTAGCAAAAACACATTATTAACAATATAAATAAATTACTGGATATATATGTATATATAATTATTTTGTATGCATATATAATAAATATTGAATTCCATTATTACTATAATACTTTCGTATAAAAATAGGATGAAAAAAGTGACATCAAAAATAGGAGGCGTGAGGATATAAAAAAAATGGGAAAATGCATAAGTACCCCTGCAGCACATGCCCCGAAATCTTGGAGACACATTCATACTATACTAAGGTCCTATTACCTCCTGAATTTATTTTATAAATAATTTTCTACTCCTTTTCGGTCGACGTAGCACTATCATCTGGGTCTAGCGCGTCCTGACAATTTTTTCAAGCTATCTAGTTGATAGCGTCAAAAGGCTGATTAGGCGTAGAAAATTATTTATAAAATAAGTTTATGAGGTGATAGAACCTTGGTATATAGTATAAGTGTGTATCTGAGATTTCAAACATAGATTAGGGATACTTATACATTTTATTTTATTTTTTATTATTAAATATATTAACGATGGAATGAAAATAGATTATAATTTATGTATAATATACCAATAAAATTACTTTTTTACGTATATATAATAAATATCTGTAATTATAATAATATCTTCATATAATTTTTTATTTTTTATTTTTTATTTTTTTAAAAGGGAGAATCTAGTCCACGTGGTATTATTGGAGGGGTGGGGCCAAAATGGTCATGTGAGGAGGAAAAATTAGGCAGTGCATGCATGTGGATTGTAATGACAGCAAATTTTTTTTATCTTTTTCCTATTTTGTCCTTATTATGTATGTACCGTGTTTATGTACTTGTCCACATCTACATTTATTTTTGGATCACTATCTTATTATTATTATTATAATTTTTTTACTACATAATAGGTTTAAAAAAAAGAGAGAATATTTTGGATTTGAACTTTGAGTTTAGATTCATTATTCTATTTTTTTCGTCAAATTTACTAACTTAAGAATTTATTACTTCCGTTCGTTTCAATTTATGCGATTCTTCGTATACAAGATTTTGAGATGATATATAAATATACTGTTATAAAGAAATTGATGTAGGATATAAATTTAATCGATATAATATTTAGGTTCTTAATACTGAAAAACGTTAAAGTTTTTATATTATAGGTTCAAAATTAATTGTTTATATATGTATATATACGAATAACTATTTAAAGAGGTGTTATCTAATTTTATAAAGAAAAATAAAATAAAATAAATATGAAATTTAAATTTCTAATATTACATAGAGAGGTGCACTCATTCATCGTCGCATTATATGATACTCTGAGTGTGAGTTCACATATCTATATTTCAATAAAAAAATTTAAAATATAACATTACTGATTATGATCTCGAGAAGGAAGCATGGATTCATGTAAATCCGATGACACATTTATTATTCCTCTCTAAGTTAGATTAGAAATTTGAATCTTATATCAATGTTGCTTTATTTTTCTTCCTAAAATTTAGTAATATCTCTAGTGGTTGTTGTAGCACTTTATTTTCAAGTTTATCACATTGAGAATTCCTAAAAAAATAAATTAGTAAGAATTAATTTTGTACATAGAATTTTAGCGATTTTTAATAATAAAAACCTAAAATGTCAAACGGGTCAAATTTTATCAAAAATATACATTTTCGTAATAGTGCATCCATTATGACAAAATTCTTAATACGCCTCTGTTTATAGTAATTTTAATTTTACGTATATAAATTTTATTTCAAAAAATTAATGAAAATTTTATTTTAGGCCTCTAAATTATTTCATTGTAACAATTAGATATTAAAAAATAAAACTACTATTATGAACAAATAAAAATAAAAATTCAAGCACATAGTAAAAAAATAGAATAGCAAAAAAATATTGAACTAGAGATTCAAGTTGTCGAATATGAACAAAAACGAAAAAAAAATTAAACAAACTCATATGTGAGAAATATACTAGTACAAAGATTTAAGGAGTCAACACAACTTTTATGTAAATATAAAACAAAAATTTAATAATTTTAAGAAAATAAACAAAAATGCGAACAAACAAAAAGAAAAATAATATAATAATCGAAATATATATACTCAAAAAATAAATATTAATTGAAACTATAAAAGCAATACAATGACTAATGGTATGACAAAATAATTGAGGTAATATTTGATCAATCACCTATTAATCAACCTTTTATCTTAATTAATATTTTTTATCGTCTCATATTTAAGATTGTATCGTCACGATAAGCTTAAGTTGTACCATGTCATGTCTGCAATTTCATATTTAAAATTATCTTTACTTCTCATAACAAACCTCGCAAATCTCTTTACTAAGGTATTCATGCATTTTCTCTTCACATACATAAACAATCGATCAGTCTCACTTTCCGTATCTTATCAAACCTTATTTCTGATACATAAAAACAATAATTTTTCAAACTAAAGTGTAAAAATATATAACGGAAACTTAAAAGAATGTTATTATATTATATATTATATAAAAGATAGAGAGAAAAATATTTTTCTTTTATATATTAAATTAATGTTGAGGACAGCAAGTCCTTTCTTTTTAAAAATATTCCAAACGTATCAAAATTATGTTCAAAAGTCAAAATTCAAAGTTAAAAAAATTTCTTTATTTAATGTTTTTTTTTATCGAATTAAAAAGGGGTCGATTAAATTAAAAATGGATAATTGTGTGTCCTATCATAGACTAATAATTTAATTAATATTTAATGAAAATTTTCGAACTTATTATAAATTATGTTTTGTTTTGCTCAATCTTACCTACCTTTATTCTATTTATTTTATTTACTTATTTAATATTAGTTATCTCTCTTTATAGTTCCATTTTTTTTTATTGGACACGTTATTTATTTAGAGCATCGAAGTCACTATATATATAAAGATAAATTAAAAATTAAGTGATAAACTATTTTTTAATTTTATGTCCATTCAAAAGTAATTATATTTTTTAATAAAGATAAATATTAAATTAAAAAATAAATTATTTTTTAATTTTTTATTTAAATTGAACAAGTAAAAATTAACGAACAAGACATGATGATAATCTTCATTTATCAGTTACCACCATGAAGTAATCTTATGAATGAATAAATAATTCATTACTAGTAAAAAAATAATTTCAAAATTTTTATAAATATAATTAGGAAATTATATTTAAGATCAAGTTGGCATGAAAAAAATATGTATATTATACACCTTTCATTCTAATTTAATGTGACATCTGAAATATTTGACACCATATGGTATTTGAGTTTTTCTCAACCACCATTTCAATATTAATTTTCATTATCATTAATTTATCAAATATATTAAATTAATATTTCTTTTGTTCATTTTTATTTGTCATTTTGCACTTTTTAAAAGTCAATTTGATTAATTTTTAAAGTTAAATTAGATTACATTAATTCAGTATTTTAAACAAAAAAGTTACATATTCAAAAACTATACAAATAGTACTATTGTTTTCGACTTTTTCGCATATCAAATTGAAAAAATACATCATAATATGTTAATAAAAATTCATAGTTTGACTCTATAAAAAAAAATCATAACGTACGTAAATGGACGAAAACAATATCAAAAAAAAATTAAACGATTGATTCTATTTGTGCACTTCGACCTAGCTTTGGCCCCACGCGGAGAGTTATAGTTTAATCTAGTAATCAGGCGAGGCAGAAATTATTTAGTTCGGATTTTTATGATAAAAAAGAAGATAGAATTTCTGATTATTCAGATCTTAATCAAATCATATGTACTGATCAATATAATCTCATAAATAATTGCTAAATTTTATTTTACAAACCTTTAATGAAAAGTGAGAATTAACCGCTAAATAATTAGAACAAGCAAAAAGTATTTTTTTTAAAAAAAAATTAATATTTTCACACAATTCAAGTTAAGATTCAAGAACGTAATAAATGATTCAAATATGTATATCATTGATTGAATTATTAATTTTGCGTGTTTATATATATATCATATATAATATATAATTCATGTTAGTTTATATATATTTTTTCTAATATTTTATATAATATATGAAAAATCTTTACGATACTATCTTTTTATAAATAAAGTGAATAAGATATATATTAAAATAAAGTTTAGTCATCTCAATGATTGAACCACTTCTTAGTTGCTTGTCAAAATTTGCTTCAACAAAGGAAGCTTCATTCCTTTGTTTGATTGTTTGTTATTTTTTTTTTTTTACGTATTAGATATTTAATATTTATATTAAAATTCTGATTAATTTGGATTCATTTCATATAATACTGTTTATAAAGAAATCGCTCCTTAACTCTGAAAAAAAAAGAGAGAGTATATATGAGATATAAATTTAAATTTTTTAATTAACGATGAAGAAATTCTATCTATCAAACTATCGACTTTTTATAAAGTGCTCAACGCTTTATTTCAAAAGGATAATAAATATGTAAAAGTCAAAAAAAGAAACAGAAAACCCAACAAAATAATACTCCACAAAAATGATGATATATACTTTTTATTATTCATATATTCCCTATCGTTTATCTTTACTCATTAATATTTAACTCGATATATGTTTCAATTTATGTGATATTTTTTATTTTTC